TAGATGTTATTATTCTTGCATGATAAGTTATGAAACTATCAGATCTCCTCTAAAAAAAAACAAAACCAAAACAAAAACCACAAACACCACCACTGGTGTTCCTGGAAATAATACCAAGTGAATTGACTTCCTTCCTCACGAGGAGATCCCTGACCTCTGTCTCACATTCTTGGGTCATTAAGCAAAGAGATCTCAAAGCCAAGTTCATTGTGACAAAGGTCATGAGCTTCTGTGGGACTTGGCTCCAAAGGAAAAGTTTGTGGGCAACTATTTGGACAGTAACTCAACAAGGCAAGAAAAAAAATTTATAAAAATTCATAGTTGTTCTTTAATGAGGAAATGCAAGTATTTAGCCACTGGTTCCTGTGTTTCCCTTAAGAACAGAGTTAACAAGACAACATGAACACATCTAACTGATTCGACAGCTGCCGTCAGTTCCATGCTTCAGGTTAATGAAAACCAAGTGCTCTCAAAGACTTAAGAGAAGCCAGTTGCCTAAAACCTATCTCATCAAAAAGAGTTATGGGATAATTCTTAAACTCAGGCAGTGAAATGTTTTGACAGTAGAAGAAAGAACCCTTGAAGTAGCTTGCATCTTTACTACTGTTCACAGAAAAGTTTGGGATTTTCTTATCAAGATTCTTCCTGAGCTCCAGGTAGCGGCATGGGAGCTGCAAACTTTGTTAAAGACTGTTATGATCTTCTACACAATCCCTTCAACATTCAATCCACTTCCCCTTTGAAACTCCAGCCTTTAAAGCTACTAAGTTTGACTCAATTATAGGGGGTGAAGACAAGGAAGAGGAAAAAGTAGATCTGAAGATTTCTAGAGGGCAAGGAGGAAAAAATTATGTCCAGCAGAAAACAAGTTACACACATTTGGTTTCTTTCCAGTAAAAACTTAATGCTGCAGTACAATTTATGCCTGGGTATCCTGCAGGTTAAACGCAGGGAGCAAGTGGCCTTACAGGCAGAAATGTGAGCAGAATATTGTTGCTGCACCTGAATCCAGGAGCAACCTGAAACAACATGCTTCCAAACCAGCAAAGGGCCTGAACGACCCTGTGCAGGGCAAGCTCTGCTGCCTGGACACTAATAAAAAGCACATGATGAGGTCAGGGGATGCCTGTGTACACAGGAAAAGCCTTTTTCCTTATCTTAAACAAAGCAGTTCAAAATAGTGATATCCTTAAAAACAATCAGCTCTCCAAGAGGACCGTGCACCTGCAGCTGCGAGACAAGTGGGTTTGCAGTCACTCTTCTGCTTCACACCAAGGAGCCAGGGCTGACTGTTTGTGCCAGGACCTCAAAGCAACGTGCTCATTCAAGAAGTTCTGTACACACACATTAACACGCAGACATCTACCCCTAATCATTTTGAGTTAACAAATGTTTGTTAAAAAGAAAATCCGCTGAGCAACTGAAACCTCATTTGAAAAGGAAATACAATATTCCCATAAACCTATGCATGAAAGCCAAGAAGCTGCCTAATAGGCATTGAAAACATAAAAATATGCAATTTACATATATTACACACTAATAATCTCCCTTCTGACATTATATTTAAGGAGCTCTGTCTGAGATTATGTGCTTGCAGTTGGGTTCCTTTTTCATGAAATACAAACAAGGCTACTCCTGGCTACCAGTTCCCTGAGGCATTAATCCTTGTCTCATTCCTGCAAAAGTCACCCCTTGGCAGGTCTGTGGGGTCTGAGAGGTTCTCTCACCACAGCCAGGTAGTAATGAGTAAACCAGATGAACAAGGAGAATAATCAGTCATCTGGAGGAGACCTGCAGACCTTGTCCTGATGTTAAAAAGTACTAAATACGAACAAGGTGAGACTCTCTGTTCTCTTATTCTTTTAAACAAGAGCAACAATGTTTTATTACCCATCCTGCAAGACAGGCATGTTACAGAGCATCCTGCTTCTTCAAACTGACCAAGACACACAGTCCTCTCTAACATCCAAATTCAAAGCTAACACAGTAAAAATAAAATTACAGCACCCTGGCCATCTCCACTTGTCCCCTGCCTTTACCTGGCACTTGCTTTAGTGTATTTGTCTGTCATATTCAAGAACAAGGTTAGAAAGGAAACATCCTGAGTGGCAAATGAAGCTCAGCACAGGGTCTGCATGTCGGACCTTCATTTGGAAGAAACTGAAGTCAAAGTGAAAAAGGAGGTTTAAGCCTGATAAGAATATGATCCTGTGAATCTTAACGTTAGATTTTGTTGTTCTCATTCTTAAGGGCTTTTTGGTAAAACACAAAAGATTTGGGCTTTAGACAAGTCTCCCCCCCACCCCTTGCCTTGCTGAAGTCACCGTAAATTCAGCTTTACACACAGAATGTCTGGAGTGCCTGCCTGCACGAGAGCCATGGAGGGCTGGAAACTTTATGTTAATTGCTCACACACCCAGATTTATTGTGGTCAAAAATCCACTGGCAAGTAAAAAGACCCTCCTTCTTTCTCATCTAAATTCCACGCACGCAGGCAGGG